CACCAGGGAGGACCTGAGCTTCGCTGTTACCCAGCTTTGGGAGATAGACTGAGTCTTCTTGTTCATTCAGAAGATGCTCACAAGGTTCATAGTGACATGTCTCCCCAAAGATTTGGATTTGTTACTGCTTGTTCCACACTTCCATAGCTAGGTACCCTGCTGGGCAGAATTGTATGGTAGGTTTTGCAGGTGGTAAAGCCTGAACAAGTATGTGGGGAACAAATATCCTTATTCCTCCTAATGTGTGGGAGAAGTAGTTTCCATCTGACATACTACCTTGGGAGAATTTGCAACAATTCAATGTCTGACCACAATTTCAAGCTTGTGGGGATAGGTCCTCACTACCCCTGCAGGAGTTGTAGGGACTTGTGTTCCCAATGACTTTAACCAATTCTCTTAATCAATAAAACTTACAGAAAATAAACCACCAGAGTTGTGGTAAACACTAAATTAGATAATATGTTAAGTTTAGCAAAATCTGGGATACATTAAATATTCAACAAATGTTAGGTAATGACTAATAGAAAATTAAAGTCATGATAATTTGATAAAATTTAGATTCCTAGGAAAAGCAATGGTCAGGTAAATCTCACTTTAGAGCTGCTGGGTTTTTATTCACTATAAGTATATCACCCTTTTATCAACTTTCCCCAAATGCTGCTACTGTTATTAGAAAATATAATGCATTTTCTTGGGTTCATGTTATAATTGCCTAAAAGCAGAGTGAGGCAGCTAGTTTTCCAAAAATGATATTATCAGCTTTTCCCCAGTCTTTAGATTCACAGCTGTAGAAGCAAACTGAGTAATATTTTAAATGCAGATAATATTTGTACTAGACAAAGTCAACTTTGCATTTCACATGTGCTAGTCAAGTGTTCACACACCCAATGTGTTCTCTCTCTCTTTTTTCCCCTCTTGCTGATTAAATAAATTACAGAAGAGGAGAAGCTTAGCTTTTAACCTTGATCCACAGTATGAAAAAGCCATGTTTGAAAATATTTGTATTCTTGGTTTAATGTCCTCAAAAAACTTAAGCAGAATTTTTCCATAAGTAATGTAATTCCTTTATTTCTAATCCCCTCCCACTCATAATTCAGAAATATTTTCTTAGCATAACACAACCTCAAATATATTTTCTTATAAAGGTTATTGAATCTCCCAGATTACTATGATCCTACCCTCCTTTACTTCTCAATCAGGCGCGTGCTTTCAAAGATTTTCTTCCCTTTAGCCATAAGATTCCTTCATTGGAAATTAAATTTAGAGATGGCAAATGGAACCCAGAGTTTCTTTCACTGAAAGATGCTGAGAAGCACTACGATAAACTAAAAAAAAAAAAATTGTGCTTTCTTGATCCTTTATTTTTAGATGGAAAAGCCACACATATCCTCTTCTCCCCCAGCATCTAGCATGTATTTTTCCCTTTCTTACTTACTAATCTCCTTCTATTATATTATTGTGCTGGTTCTCATTGACCTTGCATGAATCTTTCCATTCCATCCAAGCTTTCTGAGCATCAGGGTACAATGTACTTCAGCAATAAATAAGAGTCCAGCAGAGGTTAATCAGATTGAGACTGGGAGAGACATATACTGACCTCCCTTTCCTCCCAGGCACCAATGAATCTTTGCTTTGTCCTTAAAAACCCCTTTGCTTTGATTAAAGGACTCCACACCTCCTATCGGAGTACAGTGGCACTAGAGAGAAGTAGTTATCAGATCTTCCTAAGTCTCAAGTGTATGAGTCCTTGGTGGGAGTCCCTTGAGTCTCCAAGGATCCACAGTATCAGAAACCTCTGAATCACTCTATGTTGACACAATTGTCATGTCTCCCCTTGCTCCAGAGAGTTTATACCTAGTCCAATGTCCCTTCTGTCTTCTCTCTTGGGAGTAATTGCAGCTTTATTTTTACTCCAAATGCTCATTTTCTGGGACTCTCAAACATTGTTTTAAAAGATCCCTCAGCATTTTCCCTTATTTATCATATATATTAGTGCCTTGTGTGACCGTTTAACCAAAAGAAGCAAAGAAACAAGTGTGCACTTAAAATTGAAATCACCAACCAAGTTAAATTATGATCAATCATGTCGAAATTTAACTGCCAGTCTCTTTAAGGGTGATTTCACTGTTCTATTCAAATTTATAGTTGATTTTATTTCTTAGAATATGACTTATCTATCATGGCAACATTGTACACAGAAATAGCCTATTAACCATGAGTTTATTCTTGAAGCTAACTGGGGGAAATAAGCTCATTTTTCCATCCTTACTGAATTTATATTTACACGTTCCTATCTTTATACCACCTTACTTCATATCATTTTGTTTTGACCTTTTTACTTCCATTGCACTCTACGACTTTCTTCAGCAAATCAGTGTTCTACCCACAGGCTGGAACTTACGGGTGTGCAGGTTATCTAAGACATTTCCCAACTAAGATGTGGTGGCAATGGGAAATATGCTGAAGTTGTCAGCATTTTGATTAATGATTAAGGGACCATGTTCCAGTGTGGTGTGCAATTAAAATTAATTCCATACATTATTAAATCAGCATTTTCAATGTATAGAAAAAGAAAAATTCTGTGATAGGAAGAGAAGCGACTAAACAAACACAGAAGTAAATGATATAAAAGGCCTCATTTATGATTACATATTTTCTCTTGTAAAAGAATTTGTCTTATTTCTTGGTTCTTTATGTTACTTGTCTCAAGCTCAATGTTCATCACATTTGTCCTGGCTGAAATAATTCATTATGTTTCTACTAAATGCCTAAAAGACTCTAATACTGAGAAAATGCCTTCAACTTGATATGATTGCTGCAGCAACACTGGATTATAAATGTATTTGCTCTAATCTATTGTACGCCTGTGTCTGCACAGTCTCTCAATGTTTGTCCTTGACCCAGGCTGGCCAGTCCTCTTCATATCAGTAAAAACTCAGCACCCAGACTCAGAATCTAATTCCATTCCTTTGCTTTAGAAGAAAAGGGCTAAGGAAGAAGTGTTTACTTTAAAGAGATTTAAAGGCATATACCTTGTCTAAACTTTATTAACCTTATAACTTGTGATTATCTAAAGCTTTGCCTAGCTAAGATGCATAGGGAATAAACTTTTGATTACCTCTTTCAATGAAGAATTATCATATCAAACAATGAATAATCAAGCATTGCTTATATTTGTCTTTGAAAAGTACCAGTATCTCTTCGTCCATATAAAATATACTTAGTACCACATTCCACATTCAGTCAGTTGCTAACACTATGCTCAACATTGCTTTAGAGTTTTTGTGGTAAGAGGGAAACACCTCTCAATTTATTTCCGTTATTACATTTATTGACAAACATTCATAGGAAATCAAAACTATCACTGAACTACTAATAGAATTTAGTTAGGAAAATTGATTTGTATTTATTTGAGTAAGCAACTTATAATAAAATACCTTTGTGATGTAAAAAGAGAAAAATAGTCATCTATAACATCAAAATGCTCTTTTAAAATATAATGGCCACTTATGTTTATTCTTTGACACAAGTTAAAAAAATGAGTTAAATAATTCAAATCCAGCAATGAGCAAAAATATGCATCATTATCATGGGTCAATGATTCCATTGATCCAATGATTCCATATAACTAAGCATATATTTCTCTTATGTTTATCTGATAAAAAAAGTCAGTGTAAGTTCTCCATTTGTGATATGTTAAACAAATATTTTGTTTAAATAACTTCCTTATCTTACTTGGTTAAGCATATGTCTTGGGATATGGACTACCCAGGAAACCAGGCACAATTGAATAAGGAATTGATTGTGAATTATCAATGGATGGATGGAATATGATCTAAGAATCCACTGAAAAGAGTGTTGTTTAGACTTTAGGTAACATATTCAATTACTCCTGTCCGTATTGCAGTATATTTCTCCTATTGCATTAGAGTCCCAGCTCAAACAAGTGCTCCACTAAAGAAACACTTTTTATGTAGGGATTCAGAGCAGTCTGAACATCAGTACTTGAGGATCACTCGAAGCAAGACTAATCTTTTAACTGAGTCTTCATTCCGTCCCCTCTGGTTTTTCCATAGAATGATGGAACCAATTATGCAATGCTAAGTTTATCAATAATCAACAGGGGGAGAAGTTATTAAACTGTCTCCAACATTTGATATCAAACATAGTCACATCCCAAGAAATAGATTTTATTTTCACTAAATTCATGCCTCAAAATAAAAGGAATAAAGAAACAAAAAAATAAAGAAGTTTTTAGAAGTCTATACCAATGTTAGGATTAAAAAAAAACAAACTAAAATATGACATACCTTTACACATTTTAATACAATAATATGTGAGTTCTTAGAACTCATCTTTCTTGTAGGTCAGAACACATGGATTTTCAACTCATTAGACAATGGAAGAATAAACAGTTGCACAAGAAGAGTCACTGGCTATCACATTTTAAAATCTCACTTTCCATTTTCTCTTTTTCTCCTTCAACCACACCAACGATACTTGATATTTCACTCATGGACTTAGTCAACCTTGATCATACGCTTTAAAAATCAAAACCATATCCAAGTCACTGTGGTTCCTATTCCTGTGAGGAGGATATTAACCTGATTGGAAGGTGGGAAATGTTCAAACTGCTTTTTTAACAAACGGATGTTTGACTTGCTGTTATAGGTCATAATTACAATGGAGAGCACCCAGAGATATAAATGGGCTGTATGACAGCAAAACAGGTATTGATGTTATTTTGAAAAATCGTTCAGGGTCAAATTTGAAGGGCTCTGCTTTACACACATGGATAATTCAATAGGTGAATAAACCCTGTGGCCCGAAATACACACCAACAGATTTAATTATCTGGGGTGAATCAGGGGAGACATTCGCTCAGCGCTTTCTATTCTGAACAGCGACAGAACAAACAATGCCAATTACTTTTAAGTACCTTATGAATGTAGAAATCAGAAACCGTGTCTGTGTCAGATTAGTTGTGACAAGCTGCATACCTGCAATGACGTGATGGAAGCCTCCTCCTCGGGTCCCTTCTCTTTTCCTCTCCCTCTCCTTTCTCTGGGTTATTTAATCCACAGCAGGGTTTAAGTCTGATCTCTCACTGCCGATCTCAGTTCAGTTTAAACTCTAGCAGACGCCCATAAGACGCCCATAAGAGACCTCCTAGCAACCCGGCGAAGAGTGCTGCTCCAGACAGCACGCAGGCTCCGCGAGGTCTAGGGCTGGCAGTGCCTGCAGATGTGAAAGGAGACTGAGACTTAGCTCTGACTCCTTTCGGTGGTGCATGGGGATATTAGCACAGTCTGGGGTTTCTATTGGCTCTAAACTCCAAACAAATCACACCAGCCACCCCCCTTCTCGGTTTCACTCAGCGCTTGTTTCTCATCTAACCCACAAATATTGCAGCCACACACACTTCAGTCGTTTGCAATATTTCTCTTTTCCTCCTTCTAGTGTGTGATTTACAACCTTGTGGTTAGCTGTAAACATTTTTTTAAAAGCAGAATTCCAATCCGAAGCTTCTTGTTTATGTAGAGAAATTCTCCATTTCCTAAAACCACAAAAGCCACTCATTCTCTTCAGATCTTCTTCTCCTTTTGTTGATGGGTTTGCAATGTGAAGAATGTACAAACTCTGTGTGATACATCCGCATTCTCTCTCTCTCTCTCTCTCTCTCTCTCTCTCTCTCTCTCTCTCTCTCTCTCTCTCACACACACACACATACACACACACACACACACACACACACACACACACACACACGACTCCTTTTGTTTTGAATAATTGGGACCAGTGACATTCAAAGCAAGCTGAGCCTAATTACCTAAGTGAGAGCTCAACTAATAAAATCTTGAATGAATTCAGTGGAAAACATTTATTGTTTTCTGTTCCAAATAGCGCTTTGGTCATTATTATCCCTATTTTTGTTTATTAAATACAGAGGTTTCTAATGCAAATCAGACTCTTAAGCATCTAGAGAACATGGATTAATGACGCCAGACCAATTCTTGTGCAGCATGAGCTTTTGTGTTTTATCAGAAGGTTCCAGTGATGCCTGTGTATTTCCTTTCTATTATTTTTCTTCACTAACAGCCTCAAGATGAGGACTTTCTTAGGTATGATTCACTAATGAACAAAGATTGGTAAAACTGCTGATAGTGTACTGTATTAAATTTTTTAGTCTGTGTGTATCAGAAGAGAAACCTTAAGTCACCCAGCAGTAAACGAGCCCAAGAAAAATCTGAGATCTTACAAACTTGTCTTGGAAAATTAAGAATAGAATAAAGTTTCACAAGACAGACCCTACCTTAGCCTTTTTCTCAAAATATTTTCACTATGGAAATTTTAATGACAGTTACTTTTGACAAGAAGTGATTGTTTCTGAAATCATTGAGCCTGATTATTTTTTTTTCACATTGTCCCAATATAATTTTTATATATTATTTGGCCTTTGATATTCTGGTTCCAGCCCAATTCCTGACATCTTTTGCTACAAAATCACAGGAAATAATAGTTATCTCTTGAAGGTTTTTTTTTTATGACCAAGCAGATTACCTGCTTGATTTCCTTAGTTGGGCACATTCTAGGGATACTGAAATGGAACTTTTTTTTTCAGAATGACAAATCTGAAATCAGTTGAAATTTTCAAAAGACATACAAAATCGCATTTGGCTATTGGTTTCTGTAAACCACAATTCACTTCAAATTGCATATCCTTACTACCTTAGGTAGACATTAAAAAAAATAACAATCATAAATCTTTGAATGTGTGGAGTTTATTTCCACCAAAGATCTCAACAGTCTTTGAAAAAAAGGAGTTTTCCAGATTTTCCAGATGGAGAAATAGAGTCAGAAAATGATAAAGCAACTAGTCTTAGGTTATAAAGGTAAACAGCAAACAGATCTGGGCAATTAGATGACTGTTTCCCTTCTTATCTTTTTGAGATTACCTTTCTATACAAATAATTCAACTCAAAGAGAGAGAAGTGTTAATTCAACTGAAAGGAGAGTGAAGTGTTAAAGACAGATTATTGCATGTCTTTGCACATAAGAACTAACAATTCATGAAAACATTTGATCAAATTTGTAAAGAATCATTTTGTATGTTATTCCAGAATGGATATATTGGGGTAAGTTGCCAATAGTTTATATTTTCTGAGAATTGCCTTTCTAGAGGAAAAATTTGACTAAGGGAAAAATAGTCTACCATAGTAGAACAATCTTATTTTTCACTCATTCAGCTACATAAAACCGCACTCTTTAGTTTTATGTGGCACTTCTTAAAAGAGATGTTCATGAATTAGGGTGTATGCAGAGGAGTTGATAAGAAAGTGATTCTGAATATTATAAGAGATATTGGAGAGAATTCAGCAGTTTATCTTGGAGAAATTTCTTAGGGTGAATATGATAAAATTTGTAGATAATGCGAAAGAAAAAATATGTTTATAATCTACATATGTAATTGTCATTTTCACAAATATTTTGTTACCAAATCTTTAAATAACCTAATATGAAATATAGGGTAATTATGATTAGCTTAATGGTTCTATATACCATCTATAGTAAATTAATATGATTTAGTTATAGTAATAATTTTAAAGAATGGGACAAACTTGAAATAAAATAGATTGAAAAGAAAATAAATGAATAGATATAGAAAAGTTCATGAATGGGTTGCTTATAACAAAAGAAATGTAATTAATCTTCAATATATAGTTATGCGGAAATTTATCTTTGAATAGCAGAGAAATAATTGTAGTTTCTTTTATTTTTCTTCCATATTATTTAACATATTTTTTATTAAAAATTATACATCTTTATCATAGAATAATATAGATATGTTAGAAAGACAAAATGTCATATATAATCATCTTTGGTGCAGAAAAATGCTTAAATTACGATCATAACTATTTTAAAATTAATAACTTATCATTAATGGCATCTAATGGAATTACAAATTCTTTTTTAAAATGTACACTGTTAACACTATATTTGATGTCATTCTCATCCTGATATTTTCTTAGTTTTCTTTGTATTTGTCTTAGTTTTTTTTTTTTTTTTTGTTTATTTGTGCAAGCCAGAGGTGTGGGGGGTGAGGGGATTCACCAGAGACAGAGTGGGAAGCAGAACAGGCAGATCTACTGAAATATACTGCTGAGGGGAGCAGTGGGCGAGACAGGAGAGGTCTGCTGTGCCATGTGGGTCACCTCCCTGGCTATGGATGAAACACATGCTGTAGTAGCTGCTGATTGCTTCATAGTGCTGATGCTTGACCATTTGCGCCACCAAGGAGGCCCCTCTCTTAGTAGTTTTTTTAACCTATCAATTTATTGACAAATCCATAATTGTGTTAGTCCCCTTTCAGCCATCATCACTTTCCTTAAATTATCATAGCACTATTAATAAAAATCTTTATGAGTAAAATGATTTTACATGCAAAAATTTCAATTCAAATACATACTCTTTTTAAAAATAATTTATTTATTTTGTATATTTTAGATCATTGTTCATTTTTGTACAGTGTTGGCTTTCTTTTCTTAGGTGTAGTTCCCTTAGCATTCCCACCACCAATTAACCCATGTACCAATACCATAGTTACTTGTGCTCTTCCTGCCCTTGTTTTGATCCCTCTCTCTTCCCCTACCCTGAAGAATGTCTCTGATTTATAATTGCCTATTAAATTTGTTTTTCATTGTTATTATTTTTATTATTTGGTTCCCCCCCTATATTCCTCCTATAAGTGAAACCATCCCATATTTTTCTTTTTCCTTCAGACTTATTTCACTAAGCATTATCCCTTCTAGCTCCATCCATGTTGCTATGATTGCTGAATAGTAGTCCACTGTGTGTGTGTGTGTGTGTGTGTGTGACATCTTGATCCAGTCATCTATTGTTGGGCATTGGGGTTGTTCTCAAATCTTACCTATTATAAATAGTGCTGCAGTGCTGCAACAAACATAGGGGTGCAGGTATCCTTTTGAATTAATGTTTTTGTGTACCTTAAGTAGATCCCTAGGAGTGGAATTGCTAGGGATCCAACATCAAACTAAAAAGCTTCTGTAGTTGTTTGAGGAACCTCCACACAGCTTTCCATAGTGGCTGGACCAGTTTCCATAGTGGCTGGACCAGCAGGAGAGTTCCTTTTCTATCACATCCTTACCAACATTTGTTATTGCTAGTTTTTTAAATATGTACCATTCTAACTGGCATAAGGTGGTATCTCATTGTAGTTTTGACTTGCATTTCCCTGATTATGAGGGATGTTGACCATTTTTTCATATACCCGTTGGCCATTTGCATTTCCTCCTTAGAGAAATGTATTTTCGGCTCTTCTACCCATTTTTTGACTGGATTGTTTACTTTGATTTTGTTGAGTCCTGTGAGTTCTTTGTATATCTTTGTGATCATTCCCTTATCAGTTGTATGGAGCACAAAAATTTTCTACCAATCAAAAATATGTCTCTTTGTTTGGTTATTGTCTCTTTTGCTGTACAGAAGTTTTTTAGTTTGCTGTAATCGCAGCTGTTTATGTTTTCCTTCACTTTCTTTGCTTTGGAGATGAGTCTTTAAAGATGTTACTGAGATGTATGTCATGTAGTGTTTTATCTATATTTTCTTCTACCTATTTTATGGTTTCAGATCTTATGTTCAATTCTTTTAGATGTATTACCCTTTTCATGTATTAAACTGTATACTAAAATTTAATGAGGGAGTTTTGCATGTATGTTTATCAGGGTTATTGGCCTTTAATTATTTTTTTTGTAATGTATTCCTCAGGTTTTGATATCCGAGTGATGTTGCATATAAAATATGTTTGGAAAATACATTTATATCTGTATATCTCTATTTTTCAAGAGTTTAAGGATCAGTATTAATTTGTCTTTGATAATTTGGTATAACTCACTCATAAAATATCTGGGGTTGGTGGGCCTCCCTGGTGGTGCAGGCAGTTGAGCACACCGCTGTGAAGCTGTCCACAGTCTCTGCAACGCTGGTTCTATTCCTGGCTGGCCAGGAAGATTCCCACATGGCATGTCATGCCTGCTGTTCCCCTCGGCAGTGTATTTTGGTCATGTGTCTGTTCTGCTCCCCGCTCTGCCTATGGTGAATCCTCTCACCCTCCCACACCTCTGGCCTGTACACCAGTACTTGTATAAATAAATAAATAAATTTAAATCTTTAAAAAAAATCTGGGATTGGGTTTTGGAATTTTTTTTTTTTTTTTTTGGTAGACTTCTACTTACTTTTCAGTTCCCTTGCTTG